GCCTATCCTCTCACTAGCCCATCTATCCTCCAATAGTTGTTTATATCTTATCCTAACTGCCTCCTCCTTTATCTTATAAGCCTTCACCTCTCTCTTACCTGTTGCTTCCATTTTCCTTGTATCCCAGCTACCGTTTACTCTCACTGTAGCTACAACTAAAAAGTGATCTCATATATCTGTGGCCCCTCTATAAACATGTACATCTTGAAGTTTACCCAACTGTCTTTTATCTACCAATGCGTAGTCCAACAAATTACTCTCATTACACCCTACATCATATCTTGTATACTCATTTATCCTCTTTTTCTTAAAATATGTATTAAGTGGACCCTCCCTTTTTGTCATTAACTCTTTGACTGTTTTGGCGCATATGTACGTCTTATGAGCCAGTGTTTCGGATGTATATATACTCAATAATTCTAGCAGCTTCAAATCAAGTGGGAGAAAGCTGGTAGGTCCACATGTGAGAGAATGGATCTGTGTGGTCAGTGTGCACTGTATAAAAAAAATCCTGCAGCACAGTGCATAATGAGAAAAAAAAACTCCGACCGTGTTTTTGGATTAAAATGCCGACTTTGAGGTGTATTTTTGTATAGTAATTATAGTTGTATTCTCGTTTTCTTGGTCTCATTTGATAGAATGGGAAAGATGTTACAGAAATAGAGATGATTATGATTAGTTTCACAATGAAAACGACCTTGAAATTGAGCTCAAAGTAGCGAAAATGTTTGATTTTTACTAGTGGTCAAGAGTAAGCAAATCACACCACGCGTCCAGTACACTTCAACTGGGGAGTCTTATATTCTTTCACTAGTGCACTGATATTATTTATACCATTTTTATAATAATTCAGTAGTCTGCATAACAGTAAATCTTCTTTTGTTTGTGTGAATAAAAAATCAAAATAGAAAGCAAGAGCAATATAAGAGGGAACTGGAGACGTGACTAGTGAACAGAGGATATGTTATTTTAGTGCCAAGAATGTCAGCATTGTTTATTCTGGACCCTATTTTGAAATTGGCATCTTTTTTAATTTGCATGAAATTGGCCAAATTGCCAATTTCTGATCACTTAATTGGGTAGTTGAAATCAGTAAATAGGTGGTTTCTTGTAATCACTTGATATAAAAAATGGAGTTCTAAAGAAAAAGCTATGCGTTTGGTTGACTGGAACAATGGAATTGACCGAAAATAGGGCTCAAATTCGGCGAAATTGCCAATGCGTATATATTGCTGAGATTGCTAACTTCATAATTCCATAAGTTTTCGATCAAATTTCATACTTTTGGTGTCATTACCATTGGGAAAAGATTCTCTGTCATTTCAAAAGATTTTTTTTTTCCAAAAAATTTTGCAACATAGAATGACAGTTTCAGAAATGGGCTTGCGACAGTCAGAGGGTTAATCCATTCCAGAGAGTCTGATGAAATGTGCAATTGATGAAAACCGAAACCATTTTTCCCATAAGAAATAATGTAAATCCAATTAATTAGTTCTAAACTCCCAAAAGTATTAACAAAAAATATTGTTTTTAGAGATTAAATATAGATTTACATAAAGAAAAGAATGATAGATATGTTATAAAGCACTAATAACATGTACAAATGAACATTTAATATCACATTTACCTTTACTGAAGACTCTTGTTGGTGTATGGAAGGCAGAGAGGAGTGGAGAGGGAGGATTGATTATTGTTTGGGAGGGAAATTCCCTTCCATAAAGACTACAAGTACCAAGTCCTTATCCTGGGTTACTTCCCTTCTTCATTTTTTAATGGCACTAGGACCAACTTAACCCTTTCAGGGTCCGTCCCGTAGATCTACGGCTTTACGTTCAGGGTCCAAACCGTAGATCTACGCCATGAGCTCAGCTCACTCTGATAAACTGTGAGTGGTACATTTGGGCCTAGATATGAGAGAATACATCTATGTGGTATGTGTGCACCACATAAAACAGATCCTGCAGCACACTGTGTATAATGAGAGAAAAAAAATGAAATCATGATTTTTCGATTAAAACAGCAACTTTGCAGTGTTTTTTCGTATGTTTTTTATAGATGTATTTGCGATTTCTTGGTCTCATTTGATAGAATGGAAGACATATTACAGAAATAGAGATGATTTTGATTGGTTTTAGCACTGGAAATGGCTTGAAACTGAGCTCAAAGTAGCAGAAATGTTAAATTTTTGCCGATATTCAAGAGTAAACAAACGACCTCACACGTCTAATACACGTCAGCTGGTGGGTCTAAATATACATTCACAAATATGGTGATGATATTTATACAATCATTACAGTATTGCATAACAGTAAATCTTCTATTTTTTGGTGTGAATAAAAATTCATTATGTGAATAAAAAATCAAAATGGAATTTATTTGTAAAGCCTCAAAACATAACTAATGAACAGAGGAAATGTTAGTTTAGTGCCAGGAATACCTACATTGTTCATTCTGGACCCTATTTTGAAATTGGAATATTTTGAACTTTGTGTTAAATTGGCCAAATTAACAATTTCCGATCACTTTATTTTGTAGTTGAAACAGTTGACTTGGCAATTTCTTGTGCTCAATCGATAGAATAGAAGTAATACTAGTGAAATAGCTAAGAATTTGGTTGATTGGAATAATGTAATTGGCCTAAAATGGGAGTCAAAGTCGGCAAAATCGCCAATTCGTAAATATCGCTGACACATCAAAATTCGCGAGAGCATAATTTCGTCAATTTTCCACCAAATTTCGTACTTTTTGTTTTATTACCTTCACAAAAAGATTCTCTACGATTTCATAAGAAAAAATAACAAATTTTTTTTTTTTAAATTCTTGGACACTGGTGCGTGACTCCAGATTTGGGCCTTGGACCCTGAAAGGGTTAAGAGTCACTGGACCTCTGTCGCACAAAAAAAAACTGTCCAGAGAGCTCTTGCAGCTCTACCCTCTACCACAATCACTACCACCCTCTGCCACCACCCTCTAACACCATCACAACCACTACCACTCTCTACCCCTATCACTACCACCCTCTCTACCACCATCACTACCACCCTCTCTACTACCTCTCTACCACCCTCTACCACCATCACAATCACGACCACTATCACAACACATACCACCATCACTACCACCCTCTACGACCATCACAACCACTACCACCCTCTACGACCATCACAACCACTACCACCCTCTACCACCATCACAACTACTACCATCCTCTACCACAATCACTACCACCCTCTACCACCATCACAGCCACTCTCTACCACCATCACTAACACTCTCTACCACCATCAATAACACCCTCTACCACCATCACTACCACCCTCTACCACCATCACTACCATCCTCTACCATTATCGCTACCACCCTCTAACACCACCGCTTTCGTATTTTACTACAGTCTTTTTCTTTAATTCTGCCATGTTTCTCACCTTCTTTACCAAAGGATTGGCACTAGCAGCTTTCTTTGGGCCTATGGTGGCTTATTTAGCAGTCACACTGAATAAACAAGTGCAAAAAATAATGATTACAGAATATTCCTATGGCCTCACAGGATAATGTTTACTCACCAAGAAACAAAGCGACACTGCCTCAAAATGCGTGTGTGGAAGGCTTTATGTGCGTGCTGCACTCAGACAGGTACCGTACCACTGATGAGTACGGAGGAAAGTAATGAAAACTGAGCCAGTATTATTACGAAAAATTCAACAATAACTGAAATTCATGAAAAGAGAGCCCAACAAAAAGGGAGGGTCCACTGTACCTATAACCAAACTACTTTCTGTACAAAGTTCAATCAAAGGGCCCCTATTATCATTTACACCTGACACCCCAAACTTACCTACCACACCCTCTTTAAATGTTTCTCCTACTTTAGCATTTAGGTCTCCTACCACAATTACTCTCTCACTTGGTTCAGAAGTTCCTTCACACTCGCTTAACATCTCCCAAAATCTCTCTCCTTTACACTCCTCTATTCTCCAGGTGCATACACACTTATTATGACCCATTTTTTACATCCTACCCTTATTTTAATCCACATAATCCTTGAATTTATACATTTATATTCCCTCTTCTCCTTCCATAACTGATCCTTCAACGTTATTGCTACCCTTTCCTTAGCTCTAACTCTCTCAGATACTCCTGACTTAATTCCATTTATTTCTTCCCATAATTATACCCCTAAGAAGATGTGTGGCAGTGCTGCAGAATTTCAATACCTCAAAGTTTATAGGGTATCATTGCCTCATATTTCTTCTATGGGTAGAAATTAAAATTTCATGATAGAGATTTGCAAGTTCAAATTTATTGTATGTGAAATGCTGTAATGAGAGAAAACTGTTTAACCTTCCAAAAAAGAAGGGAACACCATTCCTGCAGCACTACACCATTGCTTATATCTCCATTTTTTTTATCACTATTATATAATTGTTTTATGTCATTGTCATTTTCATCAAGCTTCTCATTTTCAAACTATCTTAGAATGGCCTTCAATTCTTGCACTCTTTCACACAACACATGTAAGTAAAATGACAATACAGTATTCCATTGGAACTTAACACAAAATATAGGATTACCAATTCTTTTCCATCGATGTGCTTTTACTTGTTGTGGTGTGTTGTCCACGTTTTTTCTAAGAAATCATCTATCCTTAACACCTCAACCCACCTATTTTTTGATAACTTGATCCACTGAATGCTCCCCATTCTTGTATGGATGGTCTCTTAGTAAGATATTGCCTAGGCATTTTTAGTTCCCAAGGCTTCAAAATTACTTTTGAACTATGGATTAATACCCTTGTTGAATTCCACATGCTGGTTTGGTTGTATTTCTATAGCTTTTTGTCATATATCTTACACATTTTTCCTGAAATAAATGCTAGTTACAAACTCAGTGCTTTTAAAATATTGTACACAGATTAATGCACAAAAATTTTAGTGTTATCTCCCAAATTGGTCATGGTTCAATGGTTATTAATATAGTGTATACTATTTGTATATTTTCAGGTTGAGCATTATAGAGTTATATATAAAGATAACAAGCTAACCATTGATGAGGAGGAATATTTTGAACATCTAACAAAACTTGTTGAGGTAAGTAGCCATGTCCAGGATAGTACAGATTGTAATAATGTTGGTAGAATTACCGACAATATATAAAGTAAAAGGACACAAGTGCAGCTAATGTGACATTTTTATTGTGGCAACGTTTCACTCTCCAGGGGCTTTGTCAAGCCGTTACAAACAGTACATGGACACAGAGGGTATATATAGGCTCAGAGTAAGGTACAGTAGTAGTAGTGGTATTATTATTATTATTATTATTATTTTTTTTTTTTTATTATTATCACACTGGCCGATTCCCACCAAGGCAGGGTGGCCCGAAAAAGAAAAACTTTCACCATCATTCACTCCATCACTGTCTTGCCAGAAGGGTGCTTTACACTACAGTTTTTAAACTGCAACATTAACACCCCTCCTTCAGAGTGCAGGCACTGTACTTCCCATCTCCAGGACTCAAGTCCGGCCTGCCGGTTTCCCTGAACCCCTTCATAAATGTTACTTTGCTCACACTCCAACAGCACGTCAAGTATTAAAAACCATTTGTCTCCATTCACTCCTATCAAACACGCTCACGCATGCCTGCTGGAAGTCCAAGCCCCTCGCATACAAAACCTCCTTTACCCCCTCCCTCCAACCTTTCCTAGGCCAACCCCTACCCCACCTTCCTTCCACTACAGACTGATACACTCTTGAAGTTATTCTGTTTCGCTCCATTCTCTCTGCATGTCCGAACCACCTCAACAACCCTTCCTCAGCCCTCTGGACAACAGTTTTGGTAATCCCGCACCTCCTCCTAACTTCCAAACTACGAATTCTCTGCATTATATTCACACCACACATTGCCCTCAGACATGACATCTCCACTGCCTCCAGCCTTCTCCTCGCTGCAACATTCATCACCCATGCTTCACACCCATATAAGAGCGTTGGTAAAACTATACTCTCATACATTCCCTCTTTGCCTCCAAGGACAAAGTTCTTTGTCTCCACAGACTCCTAAGTGCACCACTCACCCTTTTCCCCTCATCAATTCTATGATTCACCTCATCTTTCATAGACCCATCCGCTGACACGTCCACTCCCAAATATCTGAATACATTCACCTCCTCCATACTCTCTCCCTCCAATCTGATATCCAATCTTTCATCACCTAATCTTTTGTTATCCTCATAACCTTACTCTTTCCTGTATTCACTTTCAATTTTCTTCTTTTGCACACCCTACCAAATTCATCCACCAATCTCTGCAACTTCTCTTCAGAATCTCCCAAGAGCACAGTGTCATCAGCAAAGAGCAACTGTGACAACTCCCACTTTATGTGTGATTCTTTATCTTTTAACTCCACGCCTCTTGCCAAGACTCTCGCATTTACTTCTCTTACAACCCCATCTATAAATATATTAAACAACCACGGTGACATCACACATCCTTGTCTAAGGCCTACTTTTACTGAGAAATAATTTCCCTCTTTCCTACATACTCTAACTTGAGCCTCACTATCCTCGTAAAAACTCTTCACTGCTTTCAGTAACCTACCTCCTACACCATACACCTGCAACATCTGCCACATTGCCCCCCTATCCACCCTGTCATACGCCTTTTCCAAATCCATAAATGCCACAAAGACCTCTTTAGCCTTATCTAAATACTGTTCACTTATATTTTCACTGTAAACACCTGGTCCACACACCCCCTACCTTTCCTAAAGCCTCCTTGTTCATCTGCTATCCTATTCTCCGTCTTACTCTTAATTCTTTCAATAATAACTCTACCATACACTTTGCCAGGTATACTCAACAGACTTATCCCCCTATAATTTTTGCACTCTCTTTTATCCCCTTTGCCTTTATACAAAGGAACTATGCATGCTCTCTGCCAATCCCTAGGTACCTTACCCTCTTCCATACATTTATTAAATAATTGCACCAACCACTCCAAAACTATATCCCCACCTGCTTTTAACAGTTCTATCTTTATCCCATCAATCCCAGCTGCCTTACCCCCTTTCATTTTACCTACTGCCTCATGAACTTCCCCCACACTCACAACTGGCTCTTCCTCACTCCTACAAGATGTTGTTCCTCCTTGCCCTATACACGAAATCACAGCTTCCCTATCTTCATCAACATTTAACAATTCCTCAAAATATTCCCTCCATCTTTCCAATACCTCTAACTCTCCATTTAATAACTCTCCTCTCCTATTTTTAACTGACAAATCCATTTGTTCTCTAGGCTTCCTTAACTTGTTAATCTCACTCCAAAACTTGTTCTTATTTCAAAAAAATTTGTTGATAACATCTCACCCACTCTCTCATATATATATATATATAATATATATATATATATATATTATATATATATATATATATATATATATATATATATATATATATATATATATATATAATATATAATATATATAATTCTATATATATATATATAATATAATATATATAATATATATATAAATTATAATATATATTTTTTTTTTTTTTTTTTTTTTTTTTAACAAAGTCGGCCGTCTCCCACCGAGCAGGGTGACCAAAAAGAAATGAACCATCCCTAAAAGAAAATTTCTTTCATCATCATCAAAACTTTCACACATCGCACATTTTCACTGTTTTTGCAGAGGTGCTCAGAATACAACAGTCTAGAAGCATACACATATAAAGATAACAACATATCCCTCCAAACTGCCAATATCCAAACCTCCTTTAAAGTGCAGGCATTGTACTTCCCATTTCCAGGATCAAGTCCGATATATGAAAATTAACCGGTTTCCCTGAATCCCTTCACTAAATATTACCCTGCTCACACTCCAACAGATCGTCAGGTCCCAAGTATCATTCGTCTCCATTCACTCCTAAACTAACACGCTCACGAAAACGCTTGCTGGAAGTCCAAGCCCTTACCCACAAAACCTCCTTTACCCCCTCTCTCCAACCCTTTCGAGGACGACCCCTACCCCGCCTTCCTTCCCTATAGATTTATTATGCTTTCATGTCATTCTACTTTATCCATTCTCTCTAAATGACCAAACCACCTCACACCCTCTTCTGCCCTCTGACTAATACTTTTATTAAACTCCAATCTTGTCTTTCCCAATTTCCACACTCCGAATTTTTCTGCATAATATTTACCACACATTGCCCTTAAACAGGACATCTCCACTGCTCCAACCGTCTCCTCGCTGCTGCATTTTTCCACCCAAGCTTCACACCCATATAGAGTGTGGTACTACTATACTTTCAATACATTCCTTCTTTGCCTCCATAGATAACATTTTTTGACTCCACATTTACCTCAACGCAAACCCCTCACTTTTTTCCCTCATCAATTCTATGATAACCCCATCCTTCTAAATCATCCGCCACACGTCAACTCCCAAGTATCTGAAAACATTCACTTCTTCCATACTCCTTTCCCCCCAATTTGCTATCCAATTTTTCTTTATCTAAATCATTTGACACTCTCATCACCTTACTTTTCTATGTTCACTTTCAACTTTCTACTTACAACTCCAAACTCATCACTAACCTTTGCAATTTTTCTTTAGAATCTCCCATAAGCACAGTATCATCAGGCAAAAAGTAACTGTGTCAATTCCCTTTGAATTGATTCCCATAATTTATATATATATATATATATATATTTATTTATTTATATATATATATACACACACACACAATATATACATACATAATGTGGACCCTGCACTAACAAATACTCCGAATGTACCATTATGTAATGTATTATGTAAGTGCGTTTGAACGTGATGTTTGGGGTCTGAAAAGACTAATCTACTTCCACAATATTTCTTATGGGAACAAATTCGTCAGTACTGGCTACCTGAACATACTATCTGAGTTAAAAAAATCGTTCAAACCGGGGGTCCACTGTATATTTTATTTTTTTTTTTTTTGCCATGTGGTAAAAAGGGTGAATTATATGGAAAATTAAGAAGATTTGAATGGTTTGGCTAACTCTGATGCCTATACCAGTTGTGGAATCATTGAGCCTACTTCAAAAATTAGAAATTTGCAAAGTGGGTTGAACTGCAACTTTGGATGAAAATCCCTAACTACAGCTGTTGAAGCCGTTTAGGGACTATTACAATTGACAGTGTTATGGCCCATTTTAGACAAATCTAAAGGAACTGGGGTACAGACCTCTATGGACAGATTGTTGTGCGACAGAGGTCCATGACTCTAAGCTGGTCCCCAGTGGCATTAAAAGAAGGAAGTAACCCCGAAAAGGACTTGCTACCCCAAGTCCTAATGGTGGGTGATACCCTCTAAACAAGTTCGACCCTCTCCGTTCCCATCCCATCAATCATTCAACCAGGATCTTCATAAGTGTAAGTGTCAGGTATTCTATGTTAGTAGATACTACAAACTGTGCATTGTCTTCTTCAGTTGTGTGCATTAACTAATATTTCATGTGGTAAAATTTTTTTTCATACTTTTGGGGTCTTGCACGGATTAATTTGATTTCCATTATTTCTTATGGGGGGAAAATTAATTCGCCTTCGATAATTTTGGCATACGATGAGCCCTCAGGACGGATTAATATCGAATGCAGGGCACTGTATATTATAGTATAGAGTTGTAAATAGCAACCGCCCCGGGAGGTACTACCGTCCTGCCAAGTATTGTAAAACGAAAGCCGTAAATTTTTTTTAAGATATAGGTTGTGGTGTCCTTTTTTTCCCGTCTTTATAAACATGCAAAATTTCGGTACATCTTTCTACTTTATTTTCATTAGGTCGCACTAAAACATATACGGGATTTTTATACGACCCCTCTGGGGTTTTTTGTATTTTTCTTTCTAGTTCTTGTTCTCGTTATTTCCTCCCTATTTCCATGGGGGAAATAGAGGAGTTTTCCTCGTACTCCAGCGTGTTTAAAGAGACTAAAAAGCCGGGGGCAAGGGGCTAGTAACTCCTTCTCTTGTATAAATTACTAAATTTAAAAAGAGAAACTTTTGTTTTTTTTTTTTGGGGGGCCCCCACCCCGGTGGGATCGGCCGGTGTGTTGAAAGAAGATTAATTAAAATATATATATTATTTTATTTTTTTATTTATTTATTATTGGATTCAAACAAAATTAGGTGAAGAAAAAAGGGACTTTATGATCACAAAATCGTAATGACATGATTGCAAACAAAACCCTACCGGGGGGGGGATTTAACCCCACGGGAGAGAGTCTCAAAAAATCCCGACGTCGATTAGCCCTGGGCCCGCTGCCCATAAAAATTTGTCCATCTTGGTGTATTTCTACACCATAGGAAGGTTAGCATAGGCACCACTGTGTCCACAAATGCAAGTTTTTGCAGACGAATCTCCCGCTAGCATGGCCGTGACGAACTCTAGCTCAAGTCCCCTCAAAGCTGTCAACATGTGTAGAAATACACCTAGTTGGACAAATCTTATTGAAGCTAGCTGGCCCAGTGGCTAACGTGATGGTCTGGAATTTTGAGACTCTCTGACCGCGGGTTCAAATCCCGCCCGTGGTATGGTTTGTTTGCAATCGTGTCATTACAATTTCGTGAGTCATGTTGACGGCTTTGAGGGGACTTGAGCTAGAGTTCGTCACAGCCATGCTAGCGGGAGATTCGTGTGTAAAAACTTGCATTTGTGGACACAGTGGTGCCTATGCTAACCTTCCTATGGTGTTGAAATACACCTAGTTGGACGAATCTTATTGAAGCAAGCTGGCCCAGTGGCTAACGCGACGGTGTGGAGTTTTGAGACTCTCTGACCGAGAGTTCAAATCCCGCCCGTGGTATGGTTTGTTTGCAGTCGTGTCATTATAACTTCGTGAGTCATGTTGACGGCTTTGAGGGGACTTGAGCTAGAGTTGGTCACGGCGATACTAGCGGGAGATTCGTCTGTAAAAACTTGCATTTGTGGACACAGTGGTGCCTATGCTAACCTTCCTATGGTGTAGAAATACACCTAGTTGGATGAATCTTATTGAAGCTAGCTGGCCCAGTGGCTAACGCGACGGTGTGGAGTTTTGAGACTCTCTGACCACGGGTTCAAATCCCGCCCGTGGTATGGTTTAATTGGACATTACATTGGAAAGAAACACTTTCACCATCATTCACATTATCACTCTCTTGTCAAAGGTGCACAGATATGACAGTTCAGATGCCCCTCCAAACAGCAAATATCTCCACCTTTGCTTTAGAGTGCAGGCACTATACTTCCCACCTCCAGGGCTCAAGTCCAGCTAACCGGTTTCCCTGAATCCCTTCACAGGATGTTACATTGCTCACACTCCAACAGCTCATGAGGTCCCAAAAACCATTTGCCTCCACTCCTTTCTAACACTGTATCTTCCACCTCCTTGCACATAAAACCTTTACTCCCCCCCCTCCCTCCAACCTTTCCTTGGATGACCCCTACCCTGCCGTCCCTCCGTTACAGATTTATTATTAATGAACACACTGGACAACTAGGTTGCTTAGGTTTAGCAATTCATTTTACAGAATATTTTGTATTAATAATTAATAAAAATAACTTAATAGTGTATACTGTACACTTTATTTACTGTTTAAGTTTTCTTTGCAGCACTATGAGCAAGACGCTGATGGTTTGTGTACTCAACTAAAGCGATCAGTGCCAAAGCAAGGTAGACGTGACTATGCAGTTGATGCAGTGAAGGCCTTCAAGGCAGCAGGCTGGTCCATTAATAGACAAGAATTAAAGGTAATTACAGTATCCTTTCAACATCTTTAATGAGGATCGCTAGATGTACTACATTAATAGGTAAAAGCTTGATAATTTTTGTTTGGGGCCTTCATCCACATTCACATGCAGAAAGCATATTAACTGAAATTTCTTACAATTTATTATATGCTTCAATATCAGCAATGGTTAAGTTCTGCAATATTATTATATTTAGGTTAAGGCGGAATTCCGGGAAAACACGAACGAAAAATTTTTTCCGAAAAAAATTCACAAACTGAGTTAATCTTATAGAAAAATAGCTTAACTCTCTGGCAACACAATGGTACCAGAATCATTGTTCTACGACATTCCTACAAGGAATTATGGTCATTTAAATACACCTAGGGTTACGTCACCACCCGCGACAGGTGTGCTCACCTGTCGTCAATTTATTTTTTTTTTTTCCGTTTTTTTTTCGTGTATTTACTGTATTATTCTTTCTAAGATAATAATTGACGATTTGGCATCATAATACAGTAGGTGGGACTTATACGTAGAGTTCCAACCAACCAGGAACCTCCCGACACCATTTTGCTGACGTCATGGAAAATTCCAGTCTCGGGGGTGGCCGGGGAATATGGCTCAATATAACGCTATTATAGCTTCTACGGCTTATTTATCTATCACAATTGATCTAATATGACATAATAAACAATATAAATAACAAAGAAGTATGGTAAATACTCCAGAATGAATAATATATGGAATATTCCCAGAGCGCTCCATCGGGAATAATAGATTCCCATTCTCAGAGAGGGGCTTACATTCTCTTTCTCTCACCTCCAGGGTCCTTATATTAGAGAAAACGAACATGGTTAACTATGATATACACTCGTAATGCAGTATAAGACTGAGAAAAATGTTATTTTCTCGGAAAAAAAAAAAAAAAAAGGTGGTCCGGCTGTTTCGTGGATTATCTCGGAAGTAAGTTATTCACATATATGAGCAAGTAACTAAGTTAATAATAGCAGGAATGTAATGAAATTCACAGAGAACATAAAGGAAAGATTGTTTTACAAGCTAGTGGATCGCTTTTTGAGATATCATAATTTGTTTTTGATTTATGTGAGGGCAAAAGTCAGATATTTGGCTGAAAGTCAAAAAACATACAAAATTTATTTTTTTAAGAATGAAGAAAGGATAAATTACAGAACGGCAATCCACTAGAAATACAGTTTAGCATTGTTTTATGCGTAGATAATGCCAAAACAGCTTCTCCAAGTCCCACTTCGACGGTACCTTGCAATATGTATGATTATGTATGATTATTAGTAAATAATTTTTTTCTCAGTTGTTTTTTGAGCTATCTTATTGAAACTTGGTCACATTACTATTGAAAGGTGCTTCTTTACGTACAAAAAAAATGAAAGAAATCGAACGAAAAATAAAAAAAAAAAAATTTTAGGCCTGAATTCCCCCTTAACCCTTTCGGGGTTGTTCCTGTTGTACTATGGTTTTGAAGCCAGTGTCGTTCCTGTAGTTCTACTCCATGAGCTTAGCTTACTCAGATAAGCTGTGAGTGGTAAATTTGGGCCTAGAGATTAGAGAATGGGTCTATGTGGTAAGTGTGCAACATACAAAAAAATGGTGCACACTAATGGGAAAAAACTGCGACCGTGTTTTTGTTTTTGGTTTAAAATGGCAGCTTTGCGGTGTATTTTCATATGGTTTTTATGGTTATATTCTTGGTCTCATTTGATAAATGGAAGATTAATTACAGAAATACAGATGATTTTGATTGGTTTCAGGACTGAAAGTAGCTTGAAATTGAGCTCAAATTAGTGGAAATGTTCAATTTTTGCCTATAATCCAGAGTACACAAATGACATCACTTGTCCAGTACGTGTCCAGTTGGTCAGTCTGATACCCATTTAGGAATGCACTGACATTATTTATGCAATTATTTATTTATTTTTTATTTGGACATGATACATAGTTGTACAAAGAAATATAGTGATTGGGTGTACATGCCAAAAGCCCCTTGTATGCAGAGCATTATGGGCAGGCTTAAAATTAACTTAAGATTAACTAAGCAGTGATATATTCAGTGGTAAAAATTACAGTAAACAAATTACAACATGAAGTACAAATGAGTATTTCAAATAAGAAGCATTAAAGTTGTACAAATTTGTAGCATAACAATATATAATATAATCAAATCAGATTGAGTAAAATCAATGATTTGCAGTACAGAAACAGGTCATATGGTCATTAGATGAGTTACTGTGTATTCAAGAGAATGGAGTATTCTATTAGGTAATGTAATTAAAAAAAAAAAAAACATAGTTTGATAGGGTCACAGGTTATACATTTATGAGATTCAGTTATTCAGTATTTATTTAGTTGTGGTTGAGTAAATGGTTTTTAAGATGAGTCTTGAATTGATAAACAGACAGTATTTCTTTTATATTCACAGGTAATGAATTCCAGATTTTTGGGTCTTTTATGTGAATTGAGTTTTTACATAGCGTGAGATGGAAACGGGGATCATCAAAGAGTGATCTGTGCCTTGTGTTATGGTCATGTGTTCTGTTGAGGTTGATAAGGAGAAGTTTGAGGGGAGGGTTTATATCCGAGTTTAGTGTTCTATGTATGTAGTAGGCACAATAATAATTATGGATGTTCTGTACGGTGAGTAAGTTTAGAGTTTTGAATATTGGTGGAGTATGCTGCCTGGAGTGGGAATTTGTTATCATTCTGACTGCAGCCTTTTGTTGGGTAATTAATGGTCTGAGATGATTTATTGTTGTTGAGCCCCATGCACAAATTCCATAGGTGAGATAGGGGTAAATGAATGAGTGATATAGGGCCAGGAGGGCTGACTGTGGAACATAGTACCGTATCTTTGATAGTATGCCTACGGTTTTGAAGATTTTCTTGGAAATTTGTTGTACATGTGTTTGAAATTTGAGTCTATTATCAAGGTCAATTCCTAAAAATTTTCTCCCTGTGAGCTTTGTGATAGGTGATCCGTTTATCATTATAAGAGTTCTGTAGTTCTGTTCCCAAATTGAATGTAGTAGGTTTTGTCAATATTGAGAGTAAGTTTGTTAATCATCATCCAGGTAGATATTTTCTGTAATTCGGTATTTACAATATAATCGTGTGGGTTTGAGTAGTTGCAATGCATTTGGTAGATCGTTTATGTAAATGAGAAAGAGAAGAGGGCCAAGGACACTTCCCTGTGGGACACCAACTGTAATTGGCGGTGTGGAAGAGTTTGGTCCATTTGTATACACATATTGGCTTCTGTTGCTAAGGTATGACTTTAGGTAGTTGAGGGAGTGCCCTCTTATACTATAGTGTGATATTTTATGTGCAGCAAATCATGGTCAGCTGTGTCAAAAGCTTTATGTAAATCAATGAAGATCCCCAATGGGACTTCTTTTTTCTCGAGTGCAGTGTATATTTGCGTTAGCATGTGTATAATAGCATCATTCGTATTTTTATTAGGCCTGAACCCAAACTGACAGGGGTTGAGCATGTTGTGAGAGATAAGGTAGGAATAGATTCGCTTATGAATTAGTTTTTCAAAGATTTTAGAGAGAGGGTGTAAGTTGGATATTGGCCTATAGTTATTCAAGTCTGCTTGATCTCCTCCTTTATGTATCGGGGTGACCCTCGCTATTTTGAGAACTGTAGGGAAGGTAGAAGATTCGATGGATTTGTTAAAGAGTGTTGCAATGATTGGTGACAGCACTTGTGAAGCTTTTTTGTATATAAAGGGTGGTAAGGTATTTAAATCTCCTGTCTTGTTCTTTAGTGTGTTGATAATAAGTGAGACTTCTGTTGATAGGAGTGAATGGAGACAAATGGTTTTTAATACTTGACGTGCTGTTGGATGTTGGAGTGTGAGCAAAGTAACATTTATGAAGGGGTTCAGGGAAACCGGCAGGCCGGACTTGAGTCCTGGAGATGGGAAGTACAGTGCCTGCACTCTGAAGGAGGGGTGTTAATGTTGCAGTTTAAAAACTGTAGTGTAAAGCAACCTTCTGGCAAGACAGTGATGGAGTGAATGATGGTGAAAGTTTTTCTTTTTCGGGCCACCCTGCCTTGGTGGGAATCAGCCAGTGTGATAATAAATAAATAATAATACTTCTGTTGGGTTGGTTGGAGCTAGGAATAGTGTGGTCGGGTAGGTGCCAGTGACGTAGTCATTGGGTGGGGTATTTGAGCTTGGGATTTTACCCACAAGGTTTTTTCCTATGGTGGAGAAGAAAACATTGAGTCTGTTTGCTGTTTCAATAGGTGGGAGTAGGGGTTCATCTGGTTTTGTTAGTGTCATTGTTCTGTTTCCTGATATCTTTTTTGTTCCTAGAATTTCAGATAGGGTTTTCGAGGTCTTTTTTGTATCACCTTTTAAGTTGGATAATCTGTTCTCATAATACAATCTTTTTGCCCTTCTTATCAGGGTGGTTAGGATAGATGAGTAACGTTTTGTTTGGTCTCTGGTTATGGGGCCCATTCTGTACTGTTTTTCATACTGGTGCTTTATATTTATGGATTTGAGGATGCTAGGCATTAGCCAGGGACTGTTCAGTCTCTTAGCTGTGATCTGTTTAGTTTTTTTTAGGGCAGTGCTTGTTATAGAGGTATTGGGTCTTTTTTAGAAAATTATTACAGGTCCTCCATCACAAATCCGGCATCGTTGGGACCTGTAGTGTGCCGGATTACTGAGTTTGCTGGTGGCCCGGTGGCTAAAGCTCCCGCTTCACACACGGAGGGCTCGGGTTCGATTCCCGGCGGGTGGAAACATTCGACACGTTTCCTTACACCTATTGTCCTGTTCACCTAGCAGCAAATAGGTACCTGGGTGTTAGTCGACTGGTGTGGGTCGCATCCTGGGGGACAAGATTAAGGACCCCAATGGAAATAAGTTAGATAGTCCTCGATGACGCACTGACTTTCTTGGGTTATCCTGGGTGGCTAACCCTCCGGGGTTAAAAATCCGAACGAAATCTTATCTTATCTTATCTTAC